TTGGTGGACGAAGCAGCACTCATAACCCGAGTCCCCTGGTTGTGGAACCTTTCTTTCCTTGGAGTCTCTGCAACAGCCATTCACTCCCCTCACCCCCACTGAAGTCGGCCAGTTCTCTCTACTGAAAGGGGCACGACGGGGGGCGGCGGTATTTAGAGAGTAGGCGAGAAGTGGACTCAGCCCGGATCGGCTCGCACCTGACTCGTGGCGTTCTTGGCCCTCTCCCACTCCACCTCCCTCCAAGCCGAGCCTAGATCTACCGACCTGCGCTGTCCGGGGCTAGTTTCCTTCTTCCTTCACACGCCTCGCAGAGTAATGTGGGGCTGGTACCCAGACGAAGAGGACTAGCAGGACTTCAGCTCTAGGCAGCTCTTGGTCACGTGACGCTCACGTCACCAGTAAGCTCTGGCCCCCAATTTCCACTCCCACAAGCAGTGTGGCAGGCGCCAGCCTGCCCCGTACCTCCCCCGATCACACTAGGCCCTGTCACTCTTTTCCCTATAACAATACCAGGAACCAGAAGTGGTCCTGGCTCCCTGGTGTTTGAGGTTTGCCTTTCTCGTATTACAGGAAGGGGCAGCATCTTTCCCTGGGTCTACTGTTCACTTACACTTCTTGAGGAAATGTCTTATCCTTTGGCTCTGAAAGTCCTGCCCGCCTTCCATAATTTCTACCTCTTCCCACATCCAGTCTCTGTACCCAAACTGGGAGGGTGGGGGGTTGGTGGCAGAAAAGGAAACCCAAGTAGTAGTGAGGTTTTTATGAATATTTTTGAATCATTTATGTTGTATTTCATCCTTCCTTCCGTTTTTATTGACTCAAGCTGCACTATTTTGTAATCAGAAAATGCAATTAAGCTATTTCACTTGGAGAAGAAAAGAATTAAAATCTTTAAATATATATTATATATATATAGCATATGCACAAAATAAACAATATTTCCCAGTTAATAGGGAAGCCTTATTAATTTGGTTAATTTGTACCACAATGAAAATATTTTCTTCAGATTGCACAGGAAATAGCAGCTTTCAAACAGCATATTAAAATTTAAAACATCCTTACAAACAAAACTAGTGTGCTTTCAATATGATTTATAAATTGATGGATAAAGTCAGTCCATAGTGAGGTGATCAGTGTTTTCATCATAACCATTTTAGATAAGTAAACACTATCATCTTCCTGGCTGAACTCATAGTATTAGGCATCAGATGAATGAGATGTTCATGGAAGACAGCTGGGTGGCTTTCATTCTGGCTTTAAAGGACAGATTTATGATGAATCTTAGCAATTAGTAACTTCACAGATTAACCTGCTTTTCATTCAAATGTCTCATTTAAAATCTATTCCGAAGTTTCATGGTGTAACACATAAATCATTCAGAAATTAGAGAATTTCCTATTTTCCCACTAATGAAAATGAGACTCAATAGATGGAATTTTCATTTAATCCTGACACTTGAGATATCTCCGGTGTCTGTCATTCATGTACTCTAGGTCACTTAGCAGCGGCTAGTGTTCAGCACCTTACAGGGGAGACTGTGGTGAGGGTCTGGGGATGACTGTGAATCACTGCAACACCCCTGGGATCCGTGTCGTTTTTCCCTCACAAAAAGCACAGTTTGCAGGATACCAAGCAGTCACCAGGAGAAAGAGACCTTTTCATTCCCGGCCTTCTGTTACAATTTCACTGCACCACCCATACAAACCCCTCATAATAATCCCAGAACTCCGGAAAAAGTATGCAGAAATTAGTCCCCAGACATCCAGCTGTCCGGGCTAGGGAGTCATACTCTAAATATAGACCCTTCAGGCAGCCTCTTTCTTAGAATGTTGAAATATGACACCCCAGCAGGAAGCTCCCAGTGAGGGGCCCCTGTGTGGGGGAGGCCCCTCTAGGAGGTGAGTCAGGGAGCCCAGAGTACCTTGCTGGTGAATATTCAGAAGTCAAGAACACGTCACAACTTTCTGGTCTTCCTCAAACCTTTATTGTCCAAACTCACTCACCAACATCATACCCCATGTCTCTAAAACCCCTACTTCATTTGTTTCGCCATAGTCTCCTATACTGTTCTTTTGTCACCCTTTATTTACTTCTCCTAGACAAATGAGTTCTATTGATGAAGGCTTACTAACAGAACTCGCAGATTCAACTGTCCATCACTCAATTTTCAGCATCTAAGTACTTATATAAATGACTTTTGTTGTTGTTTTGAGTATATACATTAGAAAGAACTAAGGAGTAAGTAAAGCTTAACAAAGCTTCCGGCACAAAAGTTCCACTCTTACTTCTCCTTACTAATATAAAATCTCCTCCCTCAACTTTGGTATATTTTCCAATTATTCCAATTTGTAATCCCTACCAGCAGTTTCCCACCCTGCCAGACTTTTTCTGTTTGAATCCACTCTCTCTGTAAAACTTCTTAAACCTTATGAAAATGATACCCCTTTCAGTTCTCTTACTTCTTTGTCATATTGATCCACAATTCCTACCAAGGAACCTGGGACTAACATCTAAAATATTCCCCACTCCCCTTTACACATCTACCAACAAATATTTACTTTAGAGCATGTTATTTGCCTGACAAACTATTTCAAAATCAAAAAAGGAAAATAAATCCTCATGCAATTCTTCAGACAAGCTGTTAAAATTTCCTGAGGGTGTAAAAGACTAGGTGAATCCACTGCCAAAAGGAACCTTTTGGCTTAGATCAGTAAGTGGTCACATGTAATGTGTGACTTACAAAGTATCAGAAAACAAAATAGGATCAGCAGATGGTAACACTAACAGCACTGTAGAAGGTAAGAAAAATAAATTATAGGAGATTGTTCTCTTAAAGTATATCATTCTTTGTATGGTGTATTAGTTAATTTTGTTTGGTTGTAAGGAACAGAAACCAAACCTGGTTAACTTAAACAATGAGAGAATGAAGATAAGGTAGTTCTGAGGATCTAGGTAGGAGGAATTGATAGATATTCTTTTCATGAAGCCATAATTCCACTGATTTTCAGGTTTTTGAAAAAATCTCTGTTCAAGATTTAAATTTTAGCAAGGGAGTATTGTTTTGGGTACAATGCCCACTCTTTCGCTGGGGAAATTCCATTAGAGAGGTACTGTTCTGAAATGGTAATGCACAAAGTTGTCTTCTAAGCCCAAACAACCTGGTTTCCCTGACAGCATTCCACAAGCTTGCATCTTTAGTTCAGTGTCTTGCCGGTGAATTTGTCTGTATACTGAGAGCAGATGCCTGTCAAGGAGAGACCTGCATTCATAGAGAGTTATCTATAAATCCAAATCTGAAGGCCCAAACCCATGCCTCTCTGTAAGTAAGTAGGCCACAAGGGAAGCTAAGTCTCAACAGGCGTGACAACTGAATAATTTACCCTAAGAAATACAACTGTCAGGGGACTGAAAGTTTCTATCTCTTTGACCAGCCCATTCTCTCTCCGTAGGCAAGCCACCACTTTAGAAGGTTGCTTGGTGAGCCTGCAATCAGAGCAAGGGCATTGGTTCACCTTAAGAAGGGGCTTTCAGGGCTTAGGAAGCCTGAGATACTCTTACACACCACAGGAATGGTTCTGCCAAGGAAAGCTAAATGTTCATTCATCCTAGCCAAGACTCTCCTCCAGACAGTGCTTGGGTGGGAACTATCAACACTTTCCTCTGATTCTCCTTCTCACATATCTCTATGCTTGAAAAAGCCCCTTCACTGCTGCATGTGATCTTTCTCTAAACACAGACTCATATAGTTGATTTGGTTTCTGCTTACTAAATTTCAGTCATACCCCAGTTATGTCTCCCAGAAGTACCATCGATATTAATTTCCCTGGAGTTCTACCTGTTCCCAGACTTCCTAGTCTCTCAATTTACTCCCATATTGCTTGTGGATTTAAAGTTATACTTTTAAAAGAAGATACATAAAAGATAATAACCTTATATATGAACTATCAGGGAATATCCCACTGTAGACCCCATGTTCTGACACTATTAATTTTCCCACTGTAAAAAGTTCTATCTTTGCTGACAGGTGAATCATTGAGTTCATCAGACCAGTAGGTGAAATGGTTTCACATTAATTGCTAAATGCCAGGTTTTGGTCTCAGTGTTCCTCTAACACATATTTCATTTAGAGGTGATATTGTCTACTTCTATGCAACTATATTTTGCTCTTTGTATGCCACTCACTGTCAGTGTGCACACCTCTTTATCTGACAGGTAACTACTATGCATGCAGTTGAGATTTCTACTCAACCTTTTCTTGTGTTACTGACTTTTGAGGGCTCCCTGCCTCTTCCTTGCTAATGGATGCAAGTGAGAGTCTGTAGTTTTCCTGTTTAGAAGACCGGCCTACTCAGAAGATTTGTGCATTCTCAGACACACTGATTAGTTCATTCAGGGTTGTGTTTGTGCTAGGCCCCAGAAGACACTAAAACTGCTTTGAGTGAAGTGTGTAACACTTCCCACAAGTGAGAAAATGTGGGACTTCTGGAGGCCATCACCCAACATCATTGTCCAACTTCCACTCTTTCTTTTTCTCAAGTGAAAATAGCTGCATAGCATTTTTTTTTCTCATAGAAAGAATGCAGGCCAGGGGTGGGAGAGGGCAGAACCGGAAAGTATTAAGAAAAAAAACCACACTCTTGCTCCAGGTCTCCTTTTCTCCTTTTTTTCATTTCAGATCTGGGACTAGATTTCATAGGAAATGGTAGACATTAATAGCTGGAAGGAGCAGAGGTGGGAGGAGAGGTTGCTGTCCCAGGAGCTTATGGAAGGAAGAAGCAATTTTTCAAAAAGTGCAAGTGGCCAGGAGCCCCAGGGGAGGATGCTGTCCCTTTCTGGTAACCGGAGGAGGGCAAACGCAACTACAGGGAGAAGAGATTAGCAAAGAAGAGTAATAGGGCCTGGTATGGGGGAGGGAATGGAGGGGGGCGGGTCCTCTTCTGCCGCACTGCTGGTGGGAGGGGAAATTGGGGACCCGAGTTGGTGGATGACGTAGCTCTCACGTGACCAAGAGCTGACGTGTGCAGAAGTCCTTCTTGTTCTGGTCGTTGTTCCCGTCTGAGTACCAGCTCCCCATTGCCCTGAGGGCGAGAGGGCCTGCTGCAGAGGGAAAAAGGAGGAGAAGAAGGAAGTCGTCCCGGATCCCAGCAGGTCAGTGCTTGGGAGATTCCATAAGATGGGGGTGGCCGAGGGCGTAGGGCGGAGACCGTCGCGGGTCCCGAGGCGCCTTCGTCGTTTCTCCCACTCGCCGCCGGCTTTTCCAGACATCTGTCCCGCCCGCAGCCCATTTCGGTGCTGCGAAATGGTGACCGGGGACTGTTTGGGGAGGAGCACAGAGATCAGGAGGTGGGAATCTGCTGGAAGCTGAGGCCGTAATCCGGAAAGGGAGCTGTGGCCTGGGTGTTGGCCCCCGGTCCTCCAGGACAGTGCCAGCGGGGAAAGGTTGGACTTGGAGGGGGTGGGAATGTGTGTGCAGTGATGTGTCAGCAGAACTCCGAGAGGGGTGATGGTGTGGGGAACCTTTGACAACCAGGTCTCCGGATTAGGAAAGAGTTTTACGTTCTGGGGACTGGTCCGTCCACCAAGCACTCACTAGTGGCTGCTTCCCGTCTTTCTGACTGTGGCTGTGCCTTCTGCACCATGGCTCTGTGTATAGTGCGTCCGAGGCTCTCCCGGGTTGCCAGTCTTTCCGTAGGTTGCGGCGCTACACTAGGCAAGAAAAGAGGAAGGAAATTAACCCCGATCGGTGAAGGTCGATTCGAGGGTAAGGCTGTCTGGGGACCCTAAGAGGGGCGGTGGTGGGGGTGGGAAGAAAGCAGAGATGGCAATAATCTAGGTTAGATCTGAGTCTGAGTGTGTTTCTTGCACTCCCAGGACTGTGGCGAAATGGCGTGCGGGGTGTGTGTGTCGCGGGGGTGGAGGAGTGGGGAAGAATGATAGAAGGGGAAACCTATCAGATAGTTTGTTCATAATCCTCCTCTCTCAACAGCACTTAGTCCCCATGTTTTCGATCTGTCATCCTCCAGGTCGGCTGTAGCAGGTGGCACCACTTGAAGCGAGGGAGGAAGTTTCCTCGGATCAGTAGAGGTCGGTGTAGGCGTGGGGGCTGGCTGGGATGGGGGAGGGGCGGGAAATCAGCCGCGGTTGGACAAGCTCACCCAATCCTACCTTATTCTCTAACATCCCTCCGATTTCAGGCTAGGGAAAGGGCAGGCATGTGCATGTTTTGGTGGTATAGAGAGGTTTAGAAAAATGACAAGTCTGGATGGAGAATCAGGACAGCACCCAAGAACAGTCAGTCCATCAAGCCCTCAGTGCTCACTGGCTCTGGTCTCTCTGCAGATTGCAAGGGTTGTTGGGCGTGGCACACCTCCAGGGGAGGGAAGAAGGGGTGGACTGCCTCTTTGGAGCAGGTTAGTGCAAGGGTGCCATACCTTGGGGACACCTGAGTTTGGGGTGGCTGAGGCCCCAGCAGAGACTATGGGTTCGGTTACTTTTGTCTAGGCTTGGGAAGGGGTAGGCTGGGGGAAGTAGGGGGAGGGTGAAATGAGGGGGATATAAAGAGTTTGTTAACAATGTGCACTTCCTACAAGTACTCACTTATTACTCTCCTGTCCCTCTGTGCAACTCCCTGCATGGGGCAACATAAAGAGAAGAGAAAATCAAACCCCATTTCCTTCTTCCACCCCTAGGTCCATCTCCAGTATTAGCTACTGTGGCCTTGAAGTGGCTGAAGACACCACCGTCCACAGGCCTGTACCCAGGCCCATAGCCCTCCTGTCCCAGCCTGAGTGACTGCTCTCTTCCTTGGTCCCTGCTGTTGTCAGGGACGGGTGCATGGGCTCCGCCAGGAAAGTAGGCTGGGTGACTGCGGGACTGGTGATTGGGGCTGGTGCCTGCTATTGCATTTATAGACTGACTCGGGGAAGAAAACAGAACAAGGAGAAAATGGCTGAGGGTGGGCCTGGGGATGTGGATGATGCTGGGGACTGTCCTGGAGCCAGGTACAATGACTGGTCTGATGATGATGACGACAGCAGTGACAACAAGGGTATAGTGTGGTACCCTCCTTGGGCCCGGATTGGGACTGAGGCTGGGACCAGAGCTAGGGCCAGGGCAAGGGCCAGGGCCACCCGGGCTCGTCGGGCTGTCCAGAAACGGGCTTCGCCCAATTCGGATGATACTATTTTGTCCCCTCAAGAGCTGCAAAAAGTTCTTTGCTTGGTCGAGATGTCTGAAAAGCCTTATATTCTTGAAGCGGCTTTAATTGCTCTGGGTAACAATGCTGCTTATGCATTTAACAGAGATATTATTCGGGATCTGGGCGGTCTCCCAATTGTTGCAAAGATTCTCAATACTCGGGATCCCATAGTTAAGGAAAAGGCTTTAATTGTCCTGAATAACTTGAGTGTGAATGCTGAAAATCAGCGCAGGCTTAAGATATACATGAATCAAGTGTGTGATGACACAGTCACTTCTCGCTTGAACTCGTCTGTGCAGCTGGCTGGACTAAGATTGCTTACGAATATGACTGTTACTAATGAGTATCAGCATATGCTTGCTAATTCCATTTCTGACTTTTTTCGTTTATTTTCAGCGGGAAATGAAGAAACCAAATTTCAGGTTTTGAAACTCCTTTTGAATTTGGCTGAGAATCCAGCCATGACTAGGGAACTGCTTAGGGCCCAAGTACCATCTTCACTGGGCTCCCTCTTTAATAAGAAGGAGAACAAAGAGGTTATTCTTAAACTTCTGGTCATGTTTGAGAACATAAATGACAATTTTAAATGGGAAGAAAATGAACCTACTCAGAATGAATTCAGTGAAGGTTCACTTTTTTTCTTTTTAAAAGAATTTCAAGTGTGTGCTGATAAGATTCTGGGGCTAGAAAGTCACCATGACTTCTTGGTGAAAGTAAAAGTTGGAAAATTCATGGCCAAACTGGCTGAGCATATGTTTCCAAAGAGCCAGGAATAAGCTTTTGATCTTGTAGTTTAGAACAACACAAGTTGTAAACTATTCCTTTTCTCCACCTTGTTTATATGGTAAAGGAATCCTTTCAGCTGCCAATTTTGAATAATGAATATCATATTGTATCATCAACACTGATATTTATCTGAGTTGGTCTTCAGGTCTAAGCTGGATGAGTGGCTATCACTGCCTGTACTGAAAACATGTTTGTTGCTTTTTATCTCGCTGCCTAGATTGAACTATTTTTACTATTTCTTCTGCATAAGTGACAGTGAACCAATTTGTCATAAGTAAACTCCCTCCTGTCATTTGCATTGACTTCATTTCTGTATCATCAACAAAGTTATGTGTTAATGCTGGAAAGAAAGAAATAAGAAAGGAAGAAACCATCCTTGTCCTTTGGGTTATAATCTAGTTGGAGAGATAGGAAAAACACAAACAAAAAATAACTGAGAATATCTGGAGCATATACTCGTTGTCAAATGTGTGCTCTCAGAGCACAGGGGAAGCATAGGCTTCTGAGGGATATAGTAGTCAGCCACAGATTCATGGAGGAAGATTCATGAGTCCTGAATAGGGTGGGTAGTTAGGACATTCCATGAGATTGGAATGAGGAGGGACTGGTGTGAGAAAGGCATAGATGTAGGAACTCTCTTCTCTGACAATGAGGAGACTAGTCTGCTTAGAGTGGAGAGTGGGGAATGGAAGCAAATGAATTTGGAAAGCCGGGTGATGACAGTTTGTGGAGAGCTATTTGAATATTATCCCACTGAACACCAAGGGCCATTAAATATTTTCGGCTAGAAAGAATAATTGGAATTCATATAAAAGTCCCTCTCTCATCTATTGTGCAGTGTCCATGAGGATATGGCCAAATGGACCCTTTCAAACCCTGGTGGTAAGAATGAGTTTACACTGGCACAAGGTTTGTGGAGGGCCTTTTGGTAATACATAAGCCTTAAAATATGTAAACCCCTTTTTCCTAAGGAAATGATCAAATAATTGGCCAAAGACAATATGTATAAGGCTGTTCATCCCAGCATTGTGACTAAAATAGTGAAAATTGGAAATAATTCAAGTGTCTGGTACACTGGATTGGTTAAATAAATTAAGGAAAGCTCATACAGTATATGATAAATATGTCGATTCAAATCCACTTTTGCCAGGAAAAGATAGTCATAATTCATTGGTAAGTGAGAAGGGTAGGTTAGATAGCCATACTCATAGTGTGATTCCATTTTTTTATAATAATAAAACATATGTTCAAGTAGACATAAAAAAACTCTGGAATTACAGACACCCAAATAGTAACACTATTTATCTTTGGGTGGAAGGATAATGAGTGATCTTTAACTTTTTGCTTTTTATTCATGTATGTACTCTTATTTATCTAAAATGAATATTGATTTTTCAGAAATTTTTGAAAAAGGAAAGTGTTGGGAATGAAGCAAGTGATTGGAGCATGTACTGAGGGGAAAAAATGTTTAGATAAAACATGAGAGGGATTGGAGTTTCCTCTGAAATGATAGCTGAGTAGTGAAGATGGGACTCATTGTGAGAATTAAATGAAGTAATACATGCCAAATACTTAGACTGTTCTGGCACATAGCAGTTAGTTAAGAAAAATGAGCACCCTTAATTCCCTAGAATGCAGGGTGGATAGTGATTTTGGTTGACCTTTGTTTTGCTGGGGGCATTCTGCCATGTGTCAGTGTCATTTAATACATAATAACAACAATAAAGGTTAGCATTTATTAAGACACTACTGTGTAGAGTTATGTCATTCCTGCAATGCAACTGCTAAAATAATATCTCAAAGGAATAGGGTTTTCTTATTTCTAAGGAGTCAAAGTGTATCCTCAGATATGATCTCACCAGCCCCCACAACATATTCCTGGTTGGTTTAGGGATGTTATCCTTCTTTAAATGAGGCCAGGAAAAGGTAAAATCTTCTATTCACTTATGATCTGGTTTTAGCCCTAGGCTTCCATATGGTGACCCTACTGAATCATGCACATGTGGGGACTCATTTAACACCAGAGTGGGGTGGGGGAAAAGGGAACTAAAATTTTTCTTGCTCTATTATTAGGAGGAAAAGATTTGGGAGGGGACAGCTAATCCCCTCAAAATAAATTGAGTTTGAGGTACCTGTGTGACATTCAGATGGAGACACCCTATTGTCATTTGAATGTGTTGACCTGGTGCTCAGAAGAGAAGACTAGGCTGCAAATAAAGATTTGGGAGCCAAAAGAGGATGAATGATAATTTAGGATATAGGAGTGGGTGTGATCCCCAGAGAGAGGGTGCAGAATGTAGGAGTGAAGGGATGGAGAAAGAACTGTGTAAAGGATTGTCAGCTGGGGAGAGAGGAGCAGAATTGAAACTGACTGTATACCCTTCCAGACACTTTTATTATCCATATACCTATATATTACAGACATAAAACTACACAACACTAGATAAGCTTTCAGAGTCTGATTCAAAAATTTTCTATTTCTTTCCTAAAAAATTCATTGGAGATAGTTGAGAAAATAGAGGCAATGAGAACAAACTTGTCCCCTGACCCAGTTATGTAGTTTGAACATCTAAAAAAAAAATTGTATCAAGTAAAGTTGAACACGGGGTATTGAGTAACGTGGGTGCCTGGGGTATAAATGAGGTTAACCTGAGTAACATAAAGCCACCTTGAGTCAGGGGCACAGGCCAGCCCAGTGTCCATCTGTTCTCCAGTCTCTCTTCTCCTCTCCTTCCTTCCCTCTCCCTCCCTCACACTTCTCCCTTTATTTCCTCCTCCTGGCACATCATCGGAAGTGCTCTCTCTGTGCTTCTGTGTCTTTTGGGGTGATTGTTTAATTCCCATGACACCAAGTCATGCACCAGTGGACCTTTAATACAGAGTAATAGTTATCCTGGCTGTGGCAATATGGTGCCCTGGGTGTGACTGGATGTCAAGATTTTTTGGAACGCTTGTTGAACAGAGACTGAGAAGGAATGAGTCTTAGCAGTGTGGCACAGTGCTGTGTGCTCTGCATGTACTGATGTCATCCCACACTCGGTAGCTTTTAGAACCGAATCACCTGGGCTTTGGGGAGTGCTTGTGAGGCAAAGGTGTGGCTGCCTGGTCCAGGCAGGCCACATGGCTGGCCCAGCCACACGCTGACGTCCCAATGCTGTCATATCTTGAGGGATGCCTCTCAGTCACTTTGGGAAGGGCACAGTGCTAGGACTGCGGCTGCTCCGGGGGACAGAGAGAATGGAAGCTCCTGGGAAACCAAGGGAATTAGAAACTCAGAGGATAACTTGCTGTTTGGGTTCTGTGCTCATCTAACAGTTTCAGGAATTTAAGTGGTCTATCCCTGTCAAATGTGTTCAAAGGCAACTTTACAATGATGAAGTACAGTTTTCATATAAATTGTCACCTGAAGCATAATATTTCAAGGCTCAGGAAACTAGTTTTCTTTTTTTAAATTCATATTTTACTTGCCTTGGTTCAAAAGAGATTTAGCAAATTGATGTGGTTCAGGCATCTTCTGTATTTATGCCTCTGGTTAATTTCTCTGCTAAATTCCCTTGAAAATGGCTTTTTAAAGAATGATGATGCTATTTTCAAAGCTATCTTTGTACATTCATTTTACATCATATCCCAACTGAAGGCCTTTTCTGCTTTCTCTGTTTAAACTGTGGCTCTTCCTTGCCTTTAAATCGGAACTATCTTACTGCTTTCTTGGGGTACAGAACACTAGGGTAATGGCCCCTGCTCTGTCCTGCCCTGTAGTATTAAGCAGGATAACAGATATTTACTTTTCACAATAGTATGTCTCCACACTTAACCCTCGTCACTGGGTTTCTCTCAGGCCTTGTGTTAAGGGCTTGGACAATGTGTGTGTTTGGGGATAGGTCTCGGGGGAGGGAGAAGGCCGGGGGCAGGAATGGGAGCCTTATTGGAGGGGTAACCATATCCTTACAGGTTCATGCCCATGTAATTTAATCCAGCATTGAGAGCTGGCTCAGTGTAACTCTCTAGCCCTGTTGACCATTCACATTTTAAGAAGTGAAATAGTAGGTGTAATACAAGCATCTTTGTTTGGATATAGAGCTGCTTGTTAACTGAGAATTTCTAAGTTTACAGAGGCTGTCACATGTTATTAAATGGGGTGGAATTTCTTTTTGAAAATGAAAACCATGATAATTTATGGTACTGTAAGAAATATAATTATCAAGTAGACTGGATTCTTTGTGATTACTGCTCAGAACATTCTTTCGTTAAGATAAGTCTACATTAGTAACCAAGTTATCATCAGAAGGTTGTTTATATAGTGCTCAGGGAATCAGGGAAAGCTGACTTAGCTGGATGTGGGTGCCCACCGACTATGAGAACCTGGTGCATTGTCTGTTATGGGGATTGACTTGTTGCTGAAATCAAATACTTGAATTCAAGAGCTAGAGCACATTTCTCCCTGGACACAATTATGAATTTTGTCTGCCCAGATGCCCCTTTGCCAGGGGCAGAGCATCAGTAGATGGTAGTATAACCATTAAGATGTATTATCAATTACATTTCAGAGTTTGAGAGATATATACTTTTACAGCAAGAGAAAATGGTAGTATTTGCAGTGGTTTTTCGCCTACATGTTGATTAGTGACTCCCTTTTCTGTTTTTTTTTTGTTTGTTTGATGAGTAATGATAACTTGTTACTAAGTTTTTTTGAAACCCAAGCAAAGTGAATTGTCACCTCTTTAGTTATTTTTCCATTTCCATTTTCAGTTTTATCTCGCTAAAATGTGATTTGTCTGCGTTAATGTTAATTTTTGTGGCTTTCTTTCAATAAACTGTAATGAAAATACAGACATAATGAAATGGATCCAGAAAACAAAACTTTTAATTTTTACTTTCTTGTATTATTTAAAATGAGTTAAATGGATTTTCCTTTTGATATTAGAAAAGATGGAATCTACGCAAGACCAAATAAAACAGACAATATTTAAAATATTTTATAAATCTTAAATCCATACAAACTTGGAAAATGATTTTTTTATAATCAGTTATTATTTAACATTATCAGTCACCAACTCTTGTTAAGTGGGTCCATGTAATCTATAGCGAAAAATTGGAAGTATTACATTTCACTGTGTCACTTATGAAAATTCAATAAATTTGAGTTGATTTTCTTCCAATATAAAGGTTAAGCCTTTATGTTAGGAATATTGTAACTTGTGTCTCTCTATACATATGTTTCATGCATATGTAATCACATTTGTTAAGGTGTATGGTTAAAATTGGGGAAATATTAAGATGTTAGCAGCATCTTGGAATTGTTTTCGGCTATTTATTAACTACTGATAGAAGTCCCAGATATTTCTTTCAGCTTAGAATGGGGAAAAATTAATGTCTGGGGAAGAAGGCCATAGTATAGCCTCTGCATTGGTCGACAGAATAATGCATCCAAACTGGATGTTTGACTACCACTCTGAGAGGGTATTTTTCACAGTGAACTCCATTTTAATTTGCTTTATTGTGTTTTCTTGAACCATAGAAGTAATTCATGCATATTAAAAATTGAGACAGATAAATGTATAAATTAAAACAAACCTGCCCTCTTTTCACCCATCTTTACAGTTACTTATTTACCAGCCTAATGTTCTCTATGCATATACAAATATAAATGATATACATATTCACATTTATATCAGAAAATGAACTCACAGTACATATATTGTTCTGTTTTGCAACTTTTTTTTTAACTTAAATAAATCATGTGCATCTTTCCGTGTATATCCTGCCTCATTTACCTTTTTTCATTGTGTCTTTCTCTGTAGATGATCTTCATTTTTAGGTGGTCATATCACTCAGCCTTTCCCTTCAGGGCTTTGAGGTTTTGGGTCATGCTGAGATGGGCTTTTTCTACCACAAGCTTAAAAAGAATTTTAAATATTTCCTTCATGTTTTTAAAAATAGTTCTCTCTGTGTATGTTTGTGTGGTGTGTGTGTATGTTTAACCCTTTTGGTATATACTTTTGTGTATGGTATGAAGTAGCAATGTAACTTTACTTCTTTTTCCTGGTCCCAGACATTGAATATGCCATCTTTTCCTCCACTTCTTGGCAGCACTTTTCATACATCAGTTAGTCATAGGTTATTTACAAAATGTTAGTTTTCTCTATAAATGGAAACATTATTGCTCTTTTTTGCTATCTTTGAGGTAGGATTCACTGAGGACTGCTGGTGAAGCTCTGTATCACAGAACCAGTTTTGTTAAAGATGGAATTAATGGTCTTGCATTGTGATACTAGTAATTTATTTGGTTATGGGTCTATTTTGAAGACACTTAAAACACCAAAAGGATAAATACAATGCACTTTGGGCTGTGAAAATGTCACAATTTGTGAAAGGTAGTCTAGCAGGTAACTTACATGAGTGTGGCAACACTTCACTCAAAACAATCTTAATGTTGTCATGGGACGACAATGAATGAGCTAATCAGTGTATTTGCAAGTTTGAAAATCTGCCAGCTGGTTCAGTCTTCCAAGCAGGAGAGTTATTATATATTGTTGTGTATGCCTTAGAACTAAAGATAAGAAACTTGTCTATTTGAAACATGGAATGAACTGTCAGATCTAGAAGGCTTGAGCACTATGAATTAAGATATTTTGGTGGACACTTAGAAGTTAAAGTAATCTGCTTATCAAAACACTGAAAGAGCTACAGATTAAAATTTATAAAACACATTTGGGTACAAAAACAAGATAATATAATAAAATGAAATAAATATTGATGGGACATTGACACTGAGACAACTGTTGGAAATAGCAATTGATAAAAACATTCTGTGGATGAGTTTTATAGATGATATTCCTTTCACCAGTAATATATGTCCTTTTAAGCAAAAGAAATAAGAAAATAATGTTAGTACATGGTCTCTATAGTGCAACAATCCCCAAAAACCTGCTAAAATAGAAGAAAGCCATTTTTTTATATTTATCTTATGTTTTGCCACCTCTTCTAATTTGCTTATTGACTGTCATCTTAAGTCCTTTGTGTTTTACACAAACACAATCATATCAGTTGTAAATAAAAATTAGTTTTAACTTTTTTCAGTTTTACACTATTTTCCTACCTTACTGCAATAGCTTTAATCTCCAAAAGTACACTGAGTAAAAATAGAAATTATAGATGATCTTGACTTGCTCCTGGTTGAAGTAGAAATGACTTTGGCATTTCATGGTTAGAATGAGGATTGTTGTTGATTGTTGGTAAGAAGCCTTTCAATATTTAAATTATTCCCTCCTATTCATGTTAGTATCCATTGGTAGTAGCTAATTTTTTTTCCCCAATGGCTTTTCAGTATCTATTGATAGAAACATACTTTTTCTCCTTTAATTTTTTATGAAATATATTGATAGAATTCCTGATTTTGACCATATTTGCTTTTGTGGATCAATCTCTACTAGGTTATAGTATAGCTTTTTTCTTGCCAAACTTCTGGGTTCTGTTTGTTTATGTGTCTTATAATTTGCTAATATTTTATTTTGATTTTTACATTTATTATTAATACTTGCTTTCAGTTATCTTTTATGTACTATCTTTAACAGGTTGTGGTCTCAGGTTTGGTAGCTTTATAAAATTCATTAGTGAACTTTCAATTTCTTTCCTCTTTTCTGGTAGAGTTTAAATAACGTTGGTATTATCTCTTCCTTAAAGGTTAAATAAAACTAAGCAGCAAAAACATTTGATCCTGGTTCCTTTTCAGTGGTAGATCTATAATCACATTTTCAATCTTATTTCTAATAATTTTTCTGCTCAAATTCCCTGTTTCTTGGGCTAATGTTCGTAACTTCTATTTTTTGGGCCAATGGTTAGGAAATCATCCATTACTTTTAGACTTTAAAATTTTATGTCATAGATTTGTACATTAAGTTATAATTCTTTTAATTGCATCTGTTTATGTAGTTAAACCCTTTATCATTCATATTTATATAAGTTTGTTTTCGCTCTGTTTTTACTTAGCTGTACTCATGAAGAATCTGTTCATTTTATTGGTCTTTTCAAAGAACTAGGTTTTTATTTATTGCTTCTACAATTGTTTTTCTTGGTCATTATTTTGGACTTTACTAATTTTTTCTATTTTGTTTTTTTTGTTGTGCTTTTCTTATTCTCCAATAACAGTGCTTATTTCTTTTGTTTATGGTCTTATTGAATAATAATGGTAATTAAGACTATTTTTCTCTGAGTACAGTTTTAACCATGCCCCATTGGCTTTAATATGATGTATTTTCCTTTTCTTATAGCTTGTGATTTTATTTTTAATTTCCTCTTTGACCCAGGGATTATTTTGGAGAACAGGGCTATATTATTAGGCAGCTACATTTTATGGTGATATTTTGTTATTTATTTCGAATTTTATTGTTACGAGGATATGCCTGTAAGTTCTCTCATTTTTAGAATGTATTCTTTTTTTTATTTCATCTGACTGTATTTTTTAATTTGAAAATCATCTTTTACAATCCCAGAAATTATTTTTCCTGCTTTAATTATATTCCTTTCAGCACTGTTTCTGTTTATTTTGCTAAAGATTATATCTGACTCCTTTAATAGTTCTATTTCAGTGGGAGATAATATAAAGTTTGAAGTACATACAATGGATATGAATAGTCGCCTATAGAAGTAACACAAGAGACTGGAGAAGTTTAGAAAATGGGAAACTCCAAGGAAGGTCTCCTGTGAGACCTCCCTTGGAGGCCAGACCGGGATTTGATTGAAATTTTACTGAAGTTGATTTCATGATTCTGCATTTATTTCTCATTATATCTACATTTCCTTCTAACATTGTTTCTTAGACATACCTAGTGATGCTTACTAAGTGGTAGATTAAAGATTCTTCAGAGAGTATTTGACTGTTACTCATAATTCATCTGCTTCCCCTACCCCTTCCAGACATTAGCACAGTGCTGCCATTATTTTATAGTGCTGTACATTGATCACTTTAGTTGTAGCTTAAAAAAGCGGTGTTCAGAATTTATTGCCTAGGAGAAAGCAGGGTGCAAGCAAATAAGCTGTGTGTAGGAACTGTGGCTTGACCAACAAGTGATACCATATCCCAATGAGGTCATCTTGCTTATGTCTTCAAGAGAAACCTCTCAATAGTCAGAAAGAAGAAAATATGCAATGATTTACAAGGGATGGGATGACAGACACTGAAAACTATTGAACATTTCCATGTACTCTTTCACTGGAATCCTGGAAAGAGGGTTCTATTTCCTCCTTTCCTTGAAGATGGTTTCTTGTTTATTCTTAAAAAATGGAGATTTAATATTGCACTGGGGTTAATAAATATATACATGTATGATAGAATATTATGTTTTAGATATAAAGTTACATTCTTGTTTTTCTCTCCCACAATATTTCTAACTTTTCTATTTTACCCATTCCTTTCTTCAGGAAAGGTTTAGGTAAGGGCTTTGTGATTTCCCAAAGCCCTAATACATGAAAACATCATGCTAGGTATAGTTAAAGTTAATGCTCTACATTAAGATGTCTAATTCTGGTTTTGTTTGTATTCAGTCTGCCCAAGACTCACTGTGTTCAATATGAAGACTCATGTCTTACTTTTTTGTTGAAAATTATGCCACAGTCTCTTCAAACATTGCTTTGTCCTCATTCTATCTAGTCTCTATGGAACGTCTTTCAGGCATATTTTGATACTTACCATTCCTTCTGCCATGTAACTTCTCATTTCCTTCTGTCTTATAACTTCTCATTTATATTTTGCACCACTTCCTCTTTTTATGCTGCATTCTGTGTGATTTCTTGAGATTTATCTTTGAATGTCTTAATAATCTCTTGCTTTTGAGTTAACCTCTGCTAGGGCCATACAAGTTTTACCAGTTCCAGATTATTTTTGTTACTTTATGTCCTTTGGGTTCTCCAACACGTAGGAACTATGAATTCAACCCCACACCTATGGGTGCAGCTGGCCTGGGTTCTGATTGCTTCCAAGGGACTCTTTATATACCCACCACCTCACATATAAGACAAGCTTCCTTGTCATATATTTTTGCTGTAAGAAAAGATTTTCTAGTTATTACTTCATGTATTGTCTGTGCTTCTGTGGGGTTTGGACTTAGACAGGAGCTCAGTGCCAGCTTCCCATCTTCCACTGTCTAGAGGCATTGTTTCCAGTTGCCATGTGGGATGAAACCCTGATCCTCAGCCCTTAAAGCCAATATCCATCTGTTTTTATCTCCTGCTCAATGTTAGTCCCTTCTTTGTTTTTGGGAATCTCCACTTGATGATGATGAGCTTTTGAAAGAGGGGATTCATATTCTATCACTTCTGTGAGCTTCAAATATGAAGGAGGAAACTTTCCAAGTCATTTCAGTCTTGTTTTGCCTAGAAGTTCCTGGTAGGTTTGTTGGATTGGATTGTGTAGGTGATTTGTGTTATGCCTTTTAATAGATACCTGGGGGGATGGCCTTTTTAGTACTTCCAGCAAAATAGTATAGGGTCTTACCAATCTTTCTGTAACCCAGCATAGTAATGTCAGAGGAACAAGAGGGAAAGTCTAATCATTCAAAGATGACACAGAAGCAGATAGACAGCCACTATATCTAAAGGGGCTACAAAGAAGCAATGAGAGTGGTGAATTATGTGAAACAGTAAGCATTCTTGAATTTAGACACAGCCTTGGAGAAAACAGGTCTTGAACTGATACCATTTCAGTCACCCCCATGGAATGAGAAGACAAAATGAAAATTATATGACTATTGCCATAGAAAATAAAACTTGGGTGTCTTACATACTTGAGTTTGTGGGCTGAGATTTACTCGTTACATATAAACACACACATATGCTCATACATATCTGTATATGGATAGTAAAACAGCTGGAAGGTTATAGCACAAAGTATTAGCTATGGCATTCTGTAGCAGTGAGATTATAAGACATTTATATTGTATTTTGTGCTTAGTTAACTATACTTTTTCCTATTTTCAGCTCAAATTTTACTTTCTTAGGGAATTTATTTCCGTCCACTCTCTACCCCTTCAGAGTGTGTCTTGATCTTCTGCTATATACTTGTGCAAACCTGTGTTCTATTTCTTCTTTGTATGTTCACAGAATTGTAATTATACATACACTTGTGTGAATATTTGATTAATGTATATCCCTTACTAGTGTCTGTGAGCTTCATGAATACAAAGACCTTGTCTGTTTTTTTTACCATTGTATTCTCAGTACCATGCATAAGCACTCAATAAAGACTTATTAAATGAATACATTTTTGCATTGTTTGAATATTTTTACAATGACTGTATTAATTTCATTATTAAAAGAAAATAAAAATCATCCCATTTAAAACATATATAAACATAGGCCTTCTGGGTCAGCAATCCCTGGTATCTTTGAGGATCACACTTCCCAGTAAGAATGTGTCAGTAATTATAGCCTCTCTCCTGAGAAATCCACATGCCCTGTCCCTTCACTCCCAACATACAATCTTATATATACTTCCCAGGTGTATAGAGACTTGGCCAGAGAACACCTGGTCTAAGTTAATCAGTATGGTCAGTGGGTGAGTGTTCCTTGTTTACTGACCTAAACCTGGTTGAGGGACCAGCAGGGAGGAGGTGGACTGGCAGGCAGCAACCCTGCAGCAAAATTAGGCTCTTCCTCAGTTCCCTGGAGTTTGGGGATGAGAGGCCCCCAGACTACACTCCTCAGGCTAGGTGGGAGGCAGCAGAAACAGTCCAGGGAAGCTTCTACTCAAGCACCGTGAATAAGGGCAGAAAACAAGTCGTGGAGAGTTTCCCTCAAGTGATCACTTCTCCAGGCTTCATGGAAACCCTCAGCCACAGGGGTCTAGGAGGGATCCCATTCTGGTTTCCATTGATGGGAAGAGTGCTCCCATCTATGCTGAGGCTGAATTATCTTCTTGGGAATTTGGGAGAGTGATGGGAGGCACCACAGGCATTTTTCACTCAGGTCACAGCTTTGCTCACATGTCTGTATATTTTTGGAGTGAGCAGCAGAGTTAGGTGCCTGAATGCAAAGAATGGGAGACTCTGGAATACTGGAAGGGATTGGGAGACAGCACTGTCCCACACTCTTGGCAGGACAGGGAAGATCAGGTCATGTCTCCATCCATTACACTCTCAGCTGCCTTGGCCTCCCATCTCTTTCCTTTGTCCAGAGTTGAATCTCATTATTTAGAAGGATTCCGTCTAAAAATCTATGAAATACTTTAGCATTTTTATAACTGCTTCTTATGTACAAAAAACAACACAGTTATAAAACATCATTGGACTAAGGCATTTGCATAAAATGAGGGCTCCCTCTCAAGTTGGAAATATTTTTTAATCATAGATTTTTTCCTCAGATTGAGTCCTTGTTAATTTTTCAGTGCCAATAATTTCATTGCCTTTTTTCTGATGGTAAAAATGATTGCACACTGATGCATATTTTTTTTAAATTTAGGTATCATTGATATACACTCTTTTGAAGGTTTCACAAGAAAAACAATGTCGCTACATTCACCCTTACTATCGAGCCCCCCCATACCCCATTGTAGTCACTGTCCATCAGTGTAGTAAGATGCTGATGCTTATTTTTTAAGGCAGCAATAGTGCCAGAAAATATGAGGAAGTAGTACAGATCTCATTTTCACTTACTGTCTCTATTACTGACCTGCCCACTCTCTAACCTCAACCCGTGTCCCCCTCCCCCCCAACTGTTTTGGTGGATGGACACAGTTGTAAAGGAAGTGGAAGATTTTACCGCCTAGGGGATTGAAGGTGGAGGGAGGAGCCCGAGAATCAGTGAGGCTGAAAACGTTTGAAAACTGTTGATGAGAGTCAGGAAAAGCAAGCACTGAGATCAGTGTTCCAGATGATTAATGTCTTCTAATAACATTTAATAATTCCATCCACAAATCTCTTGCCCATTGTGGCAGAGGCTGATAGTGATCCCCAATATCCATGTTGTTTTCTTCCTCCTGGGCACCCAGCTAGACAAGTGGTCAGTGTCCCTTATGAATGAGTGTTGTCATAAGACTGAGATCTGGCCAATGAATCGTGTCAGGAGTAATGTATACCACTTCTAGATTTTCCCTCATAAAATATCTCCATGACTGATCTTGCTCTCTTCCCATCCACTGGCTAAATGGAGAGAACTCTGAGTACATAGAGAAGAGCGGAGTACAAGATGGAATGAATCTGGGACCCTGAATGGCCACATATAGCAGAATCTCTCTGATGACCTGGAACAGTAACTTGAGACTCTTATGTAAACAAGAAATAAACCTTTGTTTATTTCACTGAGATTTGGGGGTTCATATGATACTGCAACGTTAATGGATTTCTTCCCTTCCTTTTTTATGGACCTCAGATAGAGGATTATCGTAACGGTATTTCTTCCTCCCTCTCATACCTGCATTCCTACATTCTTCTAATCAATCCTTTGCCTCTTTCCTTTATTCATTCACTACTTTGTTTCTCTTCATCTCTTTTCCTCACTTCTTACATCCTCCTCCCAACAGGCAACAATTATAATATATTTGATAAGCATATTTTAGTTTGTCTGGGTTCTTTTAAAACTTACGTTATTGTGTATCCACGAATTTTTAATTTAGATAATGCTTTAGTGCTGTGATTCTCATTCTTTTTCTTTTTTCCCACTCACCATTAAAAAAATGTTACATATTACTCTGTGCACATCTAGGCTGTAGTTTCTAACTATTGTTATGACATATCACAATGTTCATCCACTCTGATTTACTTCTTTGCTTTCCTAGAAATAGAGTCTAGACTGCTTCCAACTCCTTACTACCTCTAACACTGTGATGAATGTCCTCATATAGTTCCTCTTATGGACCCTGTAGAAGTGTTCTGGAATATATATAAAATAAATGAAGTTGATGGGCCATAGGACACATGTATAATTAATTTGATCAAGTACTGTCAGATTGCTTTTGGGAATAACAGTCCTGGTCTAAATCTAATCAGCTGTGTGTGTGTTGGAGTTCCTATAACCCTGTACCCTCACAAATGATTGGCCTGACCCAGCTTTCTAATTGCCAGCCAAACAGGTATAAATGTATATTAATTAGCCATTATATGATTAATAGTGAATTTGAACATCTCTTTCTGTCTTAGTGCTTGGTTTTCCTGTTCTCTTAGTACATTTTTCATATATTTTGTCAATTTAAGGTAATATATTATTCTCTCCTTTTTTGGGAGGATTTGCAGGAATAGTTTACATATGCTAGATATTCATACCATGTTAGTTTGCTACAAGATACTGCAAGATACCTTAATATAAATCTTTGGTTCTTTCATCTATTAATTTTGTTCATGGTGTCCTTTATTGAATAGAAAATCTTATTTTTTCATGTAATCAAATCTATTAAACTCTTTTGCCCTATGGCTTGTACTTCCGAGGTTTTGTTTAATGTTATGTAAACAAGAAATACACCTTTGTTTATTTTACTGAGATTTGGGGGTTCATATGTTACTGCAGCATAGTCTATTGTTACCCTGACTAACATGTGGCTTTGTAGCATATCTTACTATTTGGTAGAGTAAGTTTCCCTCTTTCCTTTCTTTATTTTTTTATGCTTATTTTTATTTTTATTTTTTTATTAAGGTATTATTGATATACACTCTTATGAAGGTTTCACATGAAAAAACAATGTGGTTACTACATTCACACATATTATCATCTCTTCCCCCATATCCCATTGCAGTCACTGCCCAACAGTATAGTAAGATGCCACAGAATCACTATTTGCCTTTTCTGTGCTACACTGTCTTCCCCATGATCCCCCCCACACCAAGTGTGCCAGTCATAATACCCCTCAGTCCATTTCTCCCTCCCTCCCAAACCACCCTTCCCCACCCATCCCCCTTGACAACCACTAGTCCCTTCTTGGAGTCTGTGAGTCTATTGCTGTTTTGTTCTTTCAGTTTTGCTTCGTTGTTATACTCCACAAATGAGGGAAATTATTTGATACTTGTATTTCTCCACCTGGCTTATTTCACTGAGCATAATATCCTCCAGCTCCATCCATGTTGTTGCAAATGCTAGGTTTGTTTCTTTCTTATGGCTGAATGGTATTCCATTGTGTATATGTACCACCTCTTCTTTATCCCTACATCTACTGATAGACACTTAGGTTGCTTCCATTTCCCAGCTATTGTAAATAGTACTGCAATAAACATAGGGGTGCATATGTCTTTTTTGAATCTGAGCAATTACATTCTTTGGGTAAATTCCTAGGAGTGGAATTCCTGGGTCAAATGATATTTCTGTTTTTAGTTTTTTGAGGAAGCTCCATATTGCTTTCCACAATGGTTGAACTAGCTTACATTCCCACCAGCAGTGTAGGAGGATTCCCCTTTCTCCACATCCTCGCCAGAATTTGCTGTTCTTAGTCTTTTCAATACTGGCCATCCTAACTGGTGTGAGGTGATATTTCATTGCGGTTTTAATTTGCATTTCTCTGATGATTAGCAATGTAGAGCATCTTTTCATGTGCCTGTTGGCCATCTGAATTTCTTCTTTTGAGAAGTCTCTGTTCAGCTCCTCTGCCCATTTTTTTATTGGATAATTTGCTTTTTGTTTGTTGAGGTGCATGAGCTCTTTGTATATTTTGGATGTCAACCCCTTATCAGATATGTCATTTGTGAATATATTCTCCCATACTGTAGGGTGCCTTTTTGTTCTTCTGATGGTGTCCTTTGCTGTACAGAAGATTTTTAGTTTGGTGTAGTCCCATGTGTTCATTTTTGCTTTTGTTTCCCTTACTTGAGGAGATGCATTCAGAAAAAAGTTGCTCATGTTTATATTCAGGAGATTTTTGCCTATGTTGTCTTCTAAGAGTTTTATGGTTTCATGACTTACATTCAGGCCTTTGATCCATTTCGAGTTTACTTTTGTGTATGGGGATAGACAATAATCCAGTTTCATTCTCTTGCATGTAGCTGACCGGTTTTGCCAACATCAGTTGTTGAAGAGGATGTTCTTTCCCAGTTGCATGTCCCTGGTTCCTTTATTGTATATTAATTGACCATATATGCTTGGGTTTGTATCTGGGCTCTCTAGTCCATTCCATTGCTCTATGGGTTTGTTCTTGTGCCAGCACCAAATTGTCTTGATTACTGTGGCTTTGAAATAGAGTTTGAAGTCAGGGAGCATGATCCCCCAGCTTTATTCTTCCTTCTAAGGATTGCTTTGGCTATTTGGGATCTTTTGTGCTTCCATATGAATTTTAGGACTAT